GATCATCCTGGATCCGCCTATGACCACGGGTGATTCAGCATTTGGTCAGCCCATTGCAACGTCTCATTTTGGCCAGCCTGATGCCGATATTGTGTCCATTTCATCTTCACAAAGAATTGCGAACCCACAGTTTTCTGTACGGATGCACATGGCTTAACTGTTGAAGGATTCCAATATTTTGGATGAAGGATTCCAATATTTTTTTCCTTGTAATTTCGTATTTCCTGCATTTTTGTAACTGTTTGCCTTAAAAGAATTCATGAAGTTTTCATTGTAGAACATCTGATGTATGGCGCACAACAGCAGGGTACCGATGATGACGTAAAATTTGCAAAGCACCAGTGGACACAATTAACGTTCGGATTCAGACAGAATGAAATACCTTCAAAAGATGCATCAGAAGCTGATCGAGATGATTATACGCAACAGTCTTCTGTATCGGAAAGTTCCAGTACTCTTGGACCTGTGAGTTTAACAAATGCGCTTCGGGCTGAATTATTTGAAGCGTGGAGTGCTGTAAATTTTATGCAGATTTTGAGAATTAGACCCTTTGGAAGGATTCACTTTACTGTGCATGTGAAGTTGTGTGGACAAAAAGGGCTCAGAATAGGAAGGAATGGAGAGGTTGCCGGCCGCATCATTGATAAGTTCCACAGAAAACCCGCGAAAGCCGCTACATTCTGCCTGTGAGAGACAGCTAAGAAAAGAAAGGTGTATTCTGCCTTGAAAGGAAGACACACAGTGATTTTGTTGCCAGACTGCTTCTGGAGCACAGGGGCCGGTGGTGTAATGGATAGCACGTTGCGTTCGGGCGCAAAAGGGATGGTTCGATCCCCTCCCGGTCCATGAGCATTTGCAAAAACAAGCTCCATTCACGAAGACGAAACACAGCGATGAAACAGTTAGATTTAATAGATTCTTTATCTTCAGTGCGCTGTTGAAGCGAAGATAGCAAAAATGCGCGTAGCACAGGATAGCGACGTGGAAACTGGTATTCCAGTGGTAATGTACGATCTGAAAACAACGCTGATCCGGATCAGTGCATATGTCCTCACCAATGATTCATTGACCAACGAAGATAAGAAAGGTTTTTTCTTTACAGTTTCAGTTTTTTGGCCGAAACGGAAGAAAAAATTTTACTATATGCGAAGGCATGAAATTCGGAAACGGGTGAGAGAAGAACGTTGGAGCCTGAAGCTCCTGGTAGTCGCTCAAAAAAAAATTTTCTCTTAGTTACTTGATATCTGAAAT